AAGTTTAAAGAAAAAAAAAATTTGGGCCAAAAAAAATTTTTTTTTTTTTTTTTTTTTTTTTTTTTTTTGGAAAAATAGAGGAATGTGTAGATTACATTCTTCATTGGTGTCATGGTTATGGATAATTTCATATTTATAGTAAATTTAAAGAACATTTGATACAACACATTTTATGTTAAAAACCAGAACATGAAAAAATATCTGATGGATTTATGATGATTCATTTAAGCTCACTGAAAATCTTAAAGAAATGCATATATTTCTTTAAAAAAGGAAGACAGAAGTTTGTTAAAGAGACCATTTTTTTCTTCTTGTGTTTTTTTTTTTTTGGTAAAGCAGTGCTTAACATCGTATCTTTAGGATAAAATTATTGGGCAATCAGAAATTTTAAAAATATAAAGTTTGGACCTGTTCATATAGTGTAAAGTCAAGCTGCTGCAGATTTTTGTCAGTGCTTTAAAATCACTCCAGGGTTATACTTTACAAGAAAAACAAGCTATAAAGTGCCATTTTGGAACATTTCAGCCAATCATTAATGAGGGTCAAGTGTACAAATCTACCAAACTGAAACCCCAGTTTTGATTCCCAAACACTTAAATAAGAACAGTTAACAAAGAACAGACATAAAGGCTAAGATACGATTCACACGGTTGTGTTTCTGAAAATCCACTGAAAAACAAGGTACAACAAAAAAACCTCAGTCATCCTGAGTTTGCTCAGAGTGATATACTTATCTGTTGTATTTGCTCAGCTTCAGACGGACACAAAAGAGACTGAACAGTCATCACCAAAATATGCCCAATGATAAGCCCTGGACAAATTAAGATTAACCTGTTCATAATGTTCTGAGTTAACTCGTACTCCTAGGAATGTGAAGTCAAACACTGAGCGATAAAAAGACTAAAATTCCTGAGGCTGGTATGTTAGCAGATATAACGCACAAAAACACGTCTGATCCAACATATTCTTCTTAATCGTTTTAGAATTTCAGAAAACAACACAGGATGTGATGTAATGGTCACTGAACTTTAATGAAGAGCCATTTAAATTTTAGCAATAACTTCTTTCACAACCTCTTTCATAAGCCTGAACTTTCCTTAGACAAATGCGTCATGAAAACACTTGACGATATGTAGAAGGTGTTTTTGAAAGAGAGAACAGCCCAGTCTTTCATAATAAACTGATCATTTATTATTGATCAAGGCAGCATCACACTAACAAAAACTCAACAATTAAATTAAGGTAATTAAGTTATTTAAGGTTTAACCTGATTGTTACATTTTGTTTTGTTTAGCAGCTTTGTGTAATCAAGTGTAATAACAGTAAAACAGACAAACAGGAAATGTTACAAATAAATAGCACAAAAAGATATAATTTAAAACTTAAATCCAGGTAACAGTTGTGTGAATCAAAAAGAAACAGAAAACCAGCAGTGAAAGTTCACTGAACTGAACCTCTGATCCAGAAACTGGAACACCTGTTTAAAGATATAGAAAAAATATATGAATTAATACATTGATCATATATTATTAGACAAAAGACCACATACTGCGGATCGGTCGTTACCTTTAACTTCCACCATCTTTGTGTATTCGGCTGAGCGTCCTGCGGCTTTGTTCTCTGCGATACATGTGAAGTTCTGAAACGTCCCAGGATTGGAGGGAGTCCACTTGAGGCGATTTGTGTTGACTGAAAAGTGGGTTCCTACAGGAAAACCTCCTCTGAACTCCCACCTAATACTGCATTCAACATTTATGGTGCAGCTGGTCAGACAGGTGAACTGACTCAACCTGCCAGGAAGCACAACGTCAGGCCCGCTGATGGTGACGTTCCACGGATCAACTGCAAAAGAGTCAAGAGTTCAGAACATGTCACAACAATGTATTATTTGTAGTTACTTAATCTCTTCCTCCAGATGTAAACTTACAGCTGAGCAGAAATCCCAGGCTGTAAACTCTCGTCTTGGATGTTGGCAGATAAATGTCACACTGATAGAAACCGGCATCAGAGGAGAGCAGGGAGTCAAAGTGAAGAGTGAGATTGTTTTGAAGGAACCTCATATTTTCACGCAGAGTCACTTCCTGTCCGTCTTTATACCAGACAATGTCTGATGGGTCCTGGTGGCCTCTGGATGCAGAATCCTGGCAACGCAAACTGAGAGGCTGGTTGAGAGATGGGACGATGTTTGGAGGACTGATCCGCACAGAGACCGGGTCTGTTACACAAGATCCAAAGGAAAGGAGGAGAACTTCAGTTCATTTACATTTTGGTTAGGCTGAAAGAACTTAATGAATTACATTCATTATATAAAGGGTATAGTTTGTCCTTTTAAATGGGAGAAAATAGACTTGTGGGTACTTTGACTTAAACACGAGTCAAAGTACACAATAATATCTAAAAATGTGGGAGGTAAACTCCTTTCCATAGATGTTAAGCAACTTCTAGGATAAAAACATGTAAAGTTTAGAAAACTATTCTCCAATCAGACACATAAAGCAGCATATTGCCTTTCTGTTTATTTACTTTACTAAGAAAGATGATCTGGTTATTTATAGCAAAATGACTGAAAATACAGAACATTCACACACAGTTCCTACATATAATTTTTGACCAAATACACTTAGTTTCTCTGTACTTACTCCAAATCTCTACGATGGTGGTTGTACTTCTGGTGATTCCTGTTTTGTTATTGTAGACGATGCACTGCAGTTCCACTGAAACATCCTGTCCATTTGGCGTCCAGGATAATGAGCTCCCATTGACCGTCCTGCCATTAAAGTTCCAGCTGTAGACGCAGTTTGGAAAACAGGACGAAGAGCAAGTGAAGGTGGTGCGGGAGCCAGCGGTCACCCTGCCGGTCCAGGAGATCTGCATGGATGCACCGAATCCTGGCGAACCTGAGGATGAGGAGGAGTCAACATGAGTGTTAACAACTATGGTTATAACCTGAAGAGAGAGTGTTATTTTTATTCCTGATTAAAGCATTAAAACAAATGTCAAGATTGAATATAGATATTCTTAATTTTTAATTTACAACAAAGAATGTTCATATATAGAGATTATAAATAAGTTATGTAAAAAATAAGTTTTCTCACCCAGGAGTGCCAGCAGCAGAGCACAGTAAAGAGTCCTTTTGATCACAGTCTTCATCTCTGCTTGAAGAAGTAATCTTGCCTCTGAATGTTTGATTCTTAAATTATTAGTTCAAACATTTCACAACAATAGAAATTACGTAGTGATGAAATCATTGTGAGTCACAAAACTGGAAGTTTCCCAAGTGAAAAGTGGAAATTCGTCACCGAGTTGTGTTAAAATTGCATAACAGTGCTGCACTTTTTTGTGTGATAATTTCTGACGCCACTAGATGGCGCTGTGTGACTGAAAACGCTCCACAGTTACTCCAAATAAAAGTTTATTACAAGCTTATTTTTCAGAAGAAAAATCTGTTCAAATTTTAAATTATAAAATTGTGCTGAATGTCATTAGAAAGCAACACATCAGTTTAAATCTTAAACATCTCTCACAGAACTTAAACACATTAATTTTATCTGCTTTCAAAACTGAACATCAAACTTTCTTCATTCTGTAATTTGTTTTGGCAATGATTGACATTTATTGATAGGGAGAACTTCCAATGAAATGAAATCAGCTAAACCTTTCTTGTAAAGCATTATATTTATTCTCTGACTATATTTGTATCAAGCTGAATCAGATAAAATTGCAAATGCAATTGATAACTGACTCCTTCTTTCACAACCCTGCCATCTTAGTAAATTGAACTGTAACTACACAGTTATTCACTATAAAATTTGAATAAATTGTTACAATATTCTCAGAGGAATCTATATACATTTGCCTGATTACTTCTTCAAACTTTCTCAATAACCTTTTGTAACTGAGGGAGAGCAAAAAGTGGAAAATTCAGGCTTGTCTTTGTGTTTGAACTTTGTAATACCATTAGAATATGTATATTTTTGATGTACAATAAACATCAAAATAAATTCCTTCTGATAAATTTGTTTTTAAAATATCTGAAGTAGTAACAGTTTTCTAATACATTATGAAATGATCAGAAAAGTTAATGTTATAAAAGGCCATTAAAATGCACACTACAATTAGAACCACATTAATTGTAGTGTGATTCTGTAGTGTGCAGAATCACACTACAGTTATAATTGGATCGTTTAAAAAGACACAGTGATATAACACCTCCAAATGCACAAGGACCAGCAACTGAACATTTTTATCATTATTAGAAACCACATAATTACAAAATACAAAATTCATCTGCAACAGCTGTAACAACAAGTGCTTTGTCGTACATTCCCAATTAATTTAAACACTGCTACTTGTTCCTTCTCCACAATTAACATGAAATGACAGAGAATACAAGTAAACCATTGAGATAACAAAAACAAAGTTTCAGATCAGGGAAAAATGTACTGACTCAATATGAAAGGGAGTTCAAATTTCATTGACGTAGAGTTTAACATCTCTAAGGTTACATGATGAGGAGGAAGATTAAAGTTTAATGGGCCTCATCCTGAACTATTATGAACTTCCTCAAACAGACTTTGTTCACCTTTATTACCCAATGAAACCCAGTAATAAAAGTCACTGTATGTGATACTGAAGACACAACTTCATATGGTAATGTTTCTTTTCTAGCACTTTGGAGATCTGTTAAGGATACTGTCTAAGGAAGGTTTTTCTCTTTATCATATCAGAAGAATATTGCGCTTTTATCATAATCCAGTTCTGAATTATCACCCAGTTTCCACATGTTTGGTTGACATATTTACATCCTTATTGCCCAGAAACTGATTGTAAAACAAACCTTGCATTTCTTCCAGCATTGAACTAAAGATATTTATCAGTGTTTTATTTAATTTATAATTAAAGGATTTTTTTTTTAATTTTGTGATATAATTCCTATTATTAAAATTCTGATGCTAACAATATTAGTTTTAACACTTATTCACTCAAATGTGGTCATAGTTGTGACATTATGATGATTTAACTGTGGTAACTAATAGCACGTAAATTAGCATTAAACCCTTAAAAACATCAGTTCACAGATGATCTTATGACATCAACATAAAGATAATTATGGCTCATTTCACATCTTTTGTGGTCCTGGCACAACAATAAGGAAATGTTCTGCTTTCTGACCATGCAGCTGTACCTGGTTAATTATTCAGACAGTGTAAACGAAAGATCAGATGTGATGACAATAAACCAACACGTACAAGGAAGTACATCAATGTTATCTTTAAAAGGTGATTATCAAGGCTATCTGGTGTTTATTCCCTTAAATTCAAGGACCATTTTAAACTCCATCAGGGCTTTATTTTCTTTTTCGTTCTCATTTTCTTTTTAATTCTTAGAAGCACATGTAAAAGACTAGAGAAATAAAAGTAATCTTTTTTTGATTTTCTAAACCTAACAGCTGCTGAAAAAGCATTTACTCTCATAAACTCTCATTATATGTCCTCTTCCTGGTTCAAAGTCTGATGCCTTCTGTTGTCACTAGATGCTGGGAAACTTATAGAGACTCTCATTAATCTCATTCAAAGCCAATAAGGAAATGTTTTTTAAACCAATCAACTTGTAGCTCCGTTATTATTATTACTGTTATTAATATGTCATAGATAAAACTTGGTTGATGTATTTATTCATCCTGACTGAAATTACCAATATGGATCAATAATGTATGCTAGAGTATACTGCTGTATTCTTCACAGACATCCTATGATTTCTAAAGGAAAAACAAAGAAACAATATTTTCCTGTATTTTCAAACAGATCTAAGTCTCCCAACTGATCAAATACACATTTTCTTATTACCCATAACTGTGTAAAACACACAGAAGAAAACATCTAATTCTCATTGACCAACAAATTCGAAGCCTTCCAAATAAAGCTTCTTGTTTTATCACTACATTTTATCAACTTCTAATATAAAAATGTGTACTAAACTAAATCAAACTCAACCAAATTCAAACAAGTGCGTCTGTCCCTGTTCTATCTGACACTAAAACACCCAACTGTCTCAAACACAAACATGATCTACTTTTTAATTTTAAATAAATGAAGCACCTTATTTAATATATAAGATGTTTTCAAATCAGAATTCAGTAAAACATATTCTCACTCATGAGTTTCACCACCAGAGGCCGACAAAGATGTTTGGAAGCTACTTATAAGTAGATCAAAACTATTCCACATTTAAATAACGCACATATTTTATTAAATCAACAGTTAATGACCAAGTCAATGCTAACATGTTGAAATGTATGTATTTTTCTGTTTAAGTGAACTTATAATTACTGAATTTGGAAGGTTATTGATGTGTGGTTTTCAACAGTTTTTTATCAATAAGAAAAATATGCCTAAATAAATTTAAATATATTATTTTTCATTGCATTACTTATTAATCTTACAAATATTAATGTTTCTAAAATTAATAGTTTTGAAATGTTTCACTACATGATACAACACCAGATGGCGTCTTGTGACGGTAGTTAATTATTACCTATTGACCCTCCTACTAAAGTCCTCCATAAAATGTTGCCTGTCTGAGCATGTGTGCATTCACAGCACCAAACATAAGAGTTTCATAAATAAATGACAGCATGCCCAGAAAATCAAATAACTTTTACCACATGAAAGCCAGTTTTTATTGCATCATGTATAGAAAGACTCTTATGCGTCTGTTTCAGTTTCAAATAAAATTAAAATACAAATGTCTTTTTGCAGTTGTTTTTACAATTAACAACAGTCAAGTTATAGAACTGCTGTTCTATAACTTGACTGTCACTTCATATTTGTTCATATGAACTTTGATTTTATTGATGTTTAGTTTTTGAAATACATTGATAACCTCCCCCTCTTTTATTGATAATTTTATTTCCTTGTAATTTCTGTTTCTTCTTAGTTACCAGAGCTACACTAACAAGAGAGTTTGAATGAGTCACAGCTGCTAAAAATCCTCCTACTTGCTCAGTTACTTATATGGAAGGAATATGAAAGAAAGTTGATAATGCAAGTCATGCATTGACACTGACCTTTTACAAATTTTTATTTGCTGGCTACAACAACATAATGAGCAGGCAAATAACTTTGAACTTTGAATTTATTGCTGCTCTCTTACTGGAAGTGAATTTGATTTTACATGAGATCTACTTCCTCATTTCCATCATGTTAAATCTTTTTAATTTGTTTTCTATTATCTTTTAGCAACAATAACTCTACTAGATTATCCAAAAGACATTGAAATATACACTGGATTATATATGTTTGACTTAATTTGTTCAAAGGTTTAATATTTAGTCATATTATTTTTATGGACTGATTGGAGAGCAGCTTTTTGCTATCGCAGGGTGAACAAATTTTTATTTGTTCAGAAAAACCCAGATGATTTGTTGCTGCTACTTAAATATATATATATATATATATATAGTATGCTTATATGCTTTTTTGAAAAAGGTAACACATCGCTACAATGGCTTCTGATCAACGGAGGTGCTCACTATTGCTCTTATTTGTGTGTTAATAAAAATAAAAAACCATGAAACCACATTGATTATTTATAGAAGCCACAGATACTTCATATAAATCTTTTCATACAATCCGATGATAAAGGATTAATTTTGATACATCAACTTGCTATAGTTTCAAATAGTATCAGGAGCTGTCCATGTCTTCAAAACACCAAATTAATCGGATTATGTTTAATTTTGGACCAAGACAGTTTTGCTAAATTTTTAATAAATATTACAAGCAATAGGGGAAGACTGATGACCTGAATTTTACCTGAATACTGAAGTCAAATAGAACAATGAGAAGTGTTGTGTTTATAGCAAACAGGTGAATCATAATATAGCTGACCCTGGGTTCTTTGGTTGGGTTTTGTTTATTTGTTTGTTTCTTTTTTTCCTCTTTTATTTATATTAGT